ACCAATTCCAATTCCAATTCTAACCAATTCCAATTCCAATTCTACCAATTCCAACCAATTCCAATTCTAGAATTGGTATTGGAATTGGTTGGAATTGGAATTGGTGCATGCCTAATATTAATAAATAAATAAATGTTTTTTAATGTTCATTTAGTTTCCAGTGTTTTAAAATTTTAATGTAGCAAGGGTGTGGGTATGGGTGTGAGATCGATATAATGTCCATATCTACTACACCCACATCCTCAACAAAAAACGTTTTTGCTTTTTCACAGTGTTAGCGTCCATGAATGAAACTCATGACGCTAACATATATATATATGTACATACATATATATATACTGTTTCTTTTTTTCTTCTTTCTCTCTCTCTCTCTCTCTCTCCTATGTGTGGTTCGATTGACTACATATATATGCATCTTTTCCGGTTTCTTCTTATGATGATCTATATTTATATTTATATTGATCATCATGAGATTTTCTTTCTTTTCTTTTCCTATATCTTTTCGTTTTTTCTTTTTCTATATTTTCGAATATATATAAATATAGTTATATTTATATATATTCAGTTGTTGTTGTTTTTGTTTCTTCTGATCCTCCTTATTATTATAGCCTGTGCTATTCTTTATTATATTTTATTGATTATCATCAATAAAATCATTATATCCACACCCATCTTTCATTCATTTACATTCTCAAGGCACGGTAGGCATTTTTGATAGTGAGTTTTCTCGTGATAGTCTATTGATCCCGACTATCTAGTTCGTTATTCAGCCTTCGATTATATTGGTGGCTGAAGTTAGTCTACACCCTTAAACGGGAACCTCACACACAGATACGAAAAAAAAGCAATAAATTTAATAAAGAGTCATTTCAAACATGTTCCTATTATCGAAAAAAACTCAATTCATTTGCTTGAGCTATAATCAACATATTCAATTTTTTCTCGGTAAATTGATTTTTGATCCATCCTCTATCTATGTAATCTTGATCACAATGCAAACTAATATCCGATTCTATCAGACGTTTTATGACTATTTCCAAATTTATTTATTATCCAACAAAAACATGTCATATTTCTATTGAGAACTTTACTAATATAAATCAAGAAAAAGAAAATATATTTCAGATCGATATTAGACATGTTTAGTATTGTCATTATGATATTCTTATGCTATTCGGTAATATTAATAAAACAAAATTATTTCAAGTGTCGATGTTGATGACAAAATCAACGTATAAGGTTAACTACAGGTTGATCACGTTAATTCTAATATTTTTTCATGATTTGCTGTGTTTCAACGAAACATTGAAAGTTTCTTATTCTAGTATGG